TAAACACAAAAAAAACAGAATATTAATTTGTTTAATTTTCCAATATTATTTTTAACAAATTAAATTAATTATTTACAACTAAAATGCTATTGGATAGTTAGGACAAACATACAAAATCTAAAGTAGTTGCTCGAAATGTAAACCCAATTGTTCAATACACAATTCACATCTACGAATGATCGAACGTTCTATAGCATTATTCAAATAAGGTCTTGCTTCATCACATGCATTCCTGATTCTGTCTATTAGCATATCTCTTGTGGGTACGGGAGACTGGTACACTTTTTCTTTTAGAAATCCCCACACAAAGAAATCTAATGGATTTAGGTCAGGGGCTCGTGGAGGCCAGGCGACTGGTCCTCCACGGCCGATCCATTTTTATAGATAATTTTCGTCCAGCCAGTTTCTAACTATTCTCGAATAATGAGCTGGACAGCCATCAAGCTGGAACCAGGCAAAACTTCTTAAAACTAACAAAACATCATCCCACCTATTTGCATGTTCAGCCTTTAAAAATTCCAAGAAGGTCGCAGCATTTAACCTTGCAGGCAAAAGGTAGGGTCCAAATAGTCGATTACGGTAGATACCAATCCACACGTTCACACTAAATTCATGCTGAAAATTTCTTTCCCGAACTGCATGCGGATTTTCATACGACCAAATATGTTGATTATGAAAATTTACCACTTATCATCTAGTGAAGCATGACTCATCGGTCCATAAAACGTTACTTAAAAACTCCCTATTATCAGTTCTATCAAGAATCCACTGACAAAATGTGATTCTTCGTTCTCCGTCCCCTGGCTGTAGTCCTTGCACAGGTTGCAAATGGTAAGGACGGTCTATGGTCATTTCTAAGAACACGGTGAACATGGCATGTTGAAATTCCCAAGGCACCAGAAACTCTCGTAACACTTGTGGTCGGATCTCTATCAAACTCACGCAGAATCATACGGGTAAATCTGCGCTGACGAACATTTATGTTTTGATCCCTTTGGAGATTTCCAAAACCATTTTCAATTATTTGGCGATGCACTCTTACATACATATTGAGCGAGTTGGATGTCGTCTGTTTGGAAATCTTCGAGCTTATTCTCTGGCTGCTTCTGCTGCGTTTCCATTTACAAAAAAATTATCGGCATACCGACCTTTAACGTTATTTTATCATAAATAATTAAAAATGCATCGAACCTTAAAAATCGAAATATCTCAAAAACGGCTAACTATAACGAAAATTCACAAGAGAGCTTTTTTATGTTGAAAAGTGCGAAGAATCGGTTTTTTTATTCAAAAAGCAAGAAATTGCACTAAGAAAAATTGTCGGTCATTTTAAAACACTGCAGGTACAGTAGAGAGCGCCCTCTAGCGGCTACAGTAAAACTATGTTTCGTTTTGTCGTATCAAAAACCCTTGTATACCAATTTTCACTGTTATACATCAAATATTGTTCGAAATATTTAAAAAAAACTATTTTAGAAAGTAAATTTAAACACCCTGTATTTCGGAAGCCACGCATTTTTCGACCCATGTTTATATAGACTTTATGCATTAATTTTGAAAGTTCTATCGAATCTTAAAGTTATGCAACAATAAACTGAAACACCCTGTATGTGACGGAGATGGATGTATGAAAATACAGTAGTAATTTAGTAGTATAGTGTATACGAGGGCCATATTTTGAGATACATGAAAACTAAAAACTATTTTTCGAAAACTAGTTTATTTACGTTCAAAGTAATCTCTTCCAGCATCGATGAACTTCTATAGCTTGACCTTCCACAAATGAAATGCTTCTCACCAGTCAGTTTTTGGAATGCCTTCAACAAATTTATTAATTGCTTGATCGAAATTTTCGACCACGCAGATTTTTTTTCAAATTGTTGAAGAGCCAGAAGTCACGCGTTTCCTAATCTGGCCATTAAGGCGGTTGGTCTAGCATTTTGATGTGGCGCTGGCATTTTCGTGATGCAGGATTGCACCTTTGCAACAACTTTTTTTTGAGTGAAGATGATCATGCAAAATGGTACGCACTGTTGTGGATCCTACCGTAATAGTTGCGTCTATAGTCATCTATGTGCAGCGAGAATCTTCTTCAAATTGCCGCTGTATTTAGCACTGTTTTCTGGAGTCACACTAGAACATGGCCTACCGCTACGTTCTTAATCAGCCAATGAAACACGCCCTCTTTTAAATTCGGCATACCAGCGAAACACACTTGGCCGGGACGGAGCTTCATTACCAAATGCCTGTTGTAACCGTTGGATACACTGATGTTGAGTTAAACCGACTTTTAAGTCATAGTAAATCATAGAGCGATAACTCTCTCGAGACAACTCCATGTATCGCCTAAAATTTGCTTACACCAATGAATGCGGCAACTCACTAATAAAGGACTGCTCTTTCTAATAGTGCACTGTTGCCGGTTTTAACTAGTACAGTTAATGCGCATTTCAAAATACACCGCGTGCCCCTCGTATTTCATCAACTAACCACGTACCTGCACCACGTAAATAGCCGAGCGCTTAGATATCCACATAGCACCATAGTTGGGTATAAATGCTGTTAATGTGTAAACAAGACCATTCTCTTCATGTTCACTTGTAGTAGCCGTGTGTGTTGCCTAAACGTCAAGATACTTGAGCTATATGCTCTGAGGTGTTGTAATATCTGCTTCAAAGCTGCCTCTAGCGAAGTCCATCCATAGCTTCCATGACCTATATTACAGGTCGTTGTGCCATTCTCGTGAGATAGCGATTAGCTTACAAAAGTGCGATAAGGTCGCTATCATAACGCGTATCTTACATAATGTTCATTTGCAATCGTCAGCACGGTCCAGGTGAACGGAAGCAAAGCAAAATAGCCTTTACCAGAAGTGTGATGTACTAAAAAATGCGACAGCGTCAGTGCCATCTACGATGACAATTAATAGAAACTGTAGCTAGGAAGTGTAAGGGAATGTCACAAAAAGTATAGAATGCAATTTTTATAGTTATACAGAATGTGAAGTTGTAGCCTCTATTTACTGCGGAGAAAAACTTTTTCATGATTTTTGGACCTTCGCGTCCTAACAATATTGTAATTGTTTATTTTAATTACCCTGTATGTCATGCACCGGGTGTTTCAAATTCGACTCTCACCATTAGAATATCTGAAATCGTGAGAGATGCGAAGTTGTTTAAATTGACCAATATTATTTGCAGTATTCAGAGACTAATTTAACCCCGAATAGATTAAACTTATTAGGTCCGGTGGCATCCCAGGGTGGCAGCTTAGCGAATATTATTGGCAAAAATATGTATGCCACTGCCTTTTATGTAACTTTAATATTTATTGTTTGATTAAGCACCTAAAAATACAACTTCTTTACCTCTTGTATTTTTTCGTATCGCACTTCGTTTTATTGGATATCAGTGGACAAATTTGGTTTATTAACTTTTGATACAAAAATCACTGTGTGTGTGTGTGTGTTTCTGTTTGTGTGTTTCTGTGTGTGTGTGTGTGTGCGTGTGTGTGCGGGTGCGCGGGCGTGCCTGCGGGCGTGCGTACGGGCATGCGTACGGGCGTGCGTACGGGCGTGCGTACGAGCGTGCGTGCGTGGATGTGTGTGTACGAGGTGCACGGTACAATATGCCTTAGAGGCTGCAATGCCATGTCAGACTTTGATCGGACGGCTCCCGGAAAGGAAAACAAGACAGGAGATTCGACATGAAGTTTTGCGATAGCAAGGTACAATTCAAGTATAGGGGATAACGGCCCGCACGCCACTTATTTTTTCGCATTTCCGAATAGAGAGAGACGAAAAACGTTTTTATTTTTTCTTTATTTGCGATGGAATTCTGAAATAAAAAGTACATCAACATTGCCACTTGTTCTTATCTACAAGATATATTATTTCATATATTAACATTGCCAAACCTTAGTTATTTAAAGAAGATGGTATTAAGTAGGCCTTAAAATTATTAGAAACTTGTTTCATAGCACCATCAGCCAAGCATTCTTTCAATTTTTATGAACTTGGTCAGCAATCCCCATTTCCAGTTTTAAAAGATGTATCATTGTACATAGTATCATGATATGGATTGCTATTTCAAAACCTCAAATGACTAAGATACTAACATAATCTTCCTATAGTTGGTCTTACCTCGTCAAATAAAGATCAACCTAATGGAAAAACCTTTTTATATTATTTAAAGGTCGTATTGAAAGCATTGAGTCAGTATTATCTCATGTAACTGAAGGAAACATTTTGATGTAAATGAAAGCTTCGACTATATTGCAGCTCCCTTGAATTCAAATGCTATTAATCTACGGGCAGGTGTTATAAGGAGCATCATGCTAAAATAACGCTTGTTATATTCGACAAATGGGCAAATTATCTAAATGTCACAAACGCTGAAATATTAATGAGTAATAAGTATGTGATAAACTGTCATTTTTACAGCCAACTATGAGAATATTTGTTTTTTTTTTTGAAATAACACAGGTTTCATTAAGCCAATGTATGGCATTATACATTTTTGAAAACAGAATTACAAACTCCATTCACCTATGCAAAAATCCAATATAGCGTCTTGAAAAAAAAACAATGTTGATGATTGAGGACAGTAGGCAGAACGAGATACTGAAATTCTGCACTCTTCATTTCAAAATCCTGTCTAAAATAAAGTTTGCAAAAAATAAATACTATTTTTGAAAAAATCGGTTTCTTTAGTCAATCTCCGGATATACTGGAAATGCCGAAACTTTCCAAGTGCCATTTTCTTAGTTACTTAAATGCCAAACCTTGCCCCAATTTAACCGACTTCGTATCTCTTACCATTTCCGAGATCTCAATGGTGAGAGTGACTTTTGAAACACTCGAAATAATTCTTTATCAAACACATGGAAATTTCTCTTAGACGGAAAGCTGAGACACCCCACTTGACCATGTATCTCACGAAAATCACTTTACTATTCTATATTTTTCCACCCGACGTAATTATGACGGTGTTCCTTCGCAGATGATGGAGGAAAACGCAAATAATTTCACACCGTCAACCCCCAGGGAGCACAGGAGGAGTTTCAAAAAGAAACTGGTTGTGGAAAAAGAAAAGCCGGAACGAACATCGCCGAAGAGGAGAGCTGAGAAAAATGTCAACTCGTCGCCGGAGGACTGTGATTCGCCTAAGCCAAAACACAGGTGAGGTAACAATTTATTACCACAGCAAAATGTACAAGGTGTTACAAAATGTTGTCGGCGAAATTAAAGAGTAAGATTCATAAACACCACTTGATACAACCCTTGATACTTGAGAAACCCGCTATGTTGATCCTGCTGACGACATCCTTCATTTACACATTAGATCTACTCCATAGCTAGTACTTCTTAAGCAAACATTCCGAGTATCTTAGTTGATTGTGATTGAACCGGAGAGAAGAGGGCTAACGGGATTTCTTATTAGGAATCATGGGAACGAAGCATTCCCGGATATCTATCTTTATATGCACTTTTATTAATATTTCAATATGCTGGATCTGTTGTTCAATTTTCCAGCGTTCTGTAACACTCTGTATACCTTGGAGCTGGAAAGTTTCCAGCGAATATCGACCAGACCATATCTAAGTGCCGAGAATGAGCCATGCCCTTATAACCTCGAGCCCTCTAGGGCAATTATGTTCTGAAAATTACTGTTGCTCAGGCCGTTAATTATATTTCTCCAATTCTTGTATGTATGTATACTAAGTGACATATAAATCCCAGTTTAAATGGTTTTATTTTAATAAAAGTTGGTGAATGTATTTATCTTACTGTAAATAACAAGTGAAAAAATTTTCAGCCTTATCAGTTGGACATTCCGGTTTTTATACTGTTTATACAATGTAGACACTGTGGTTAGGTGTTGTCAGGCATGGCTTCGAGAAGGCCATACGCAAAGAGCAAGGGGCACTGGACGCCGCCGTTGAACAACAGACCGTGAAGATCGCCGCCTAAGATTATTGGCCTTAAGGGACAGTTCCTCCACTACCAGGTCCATTGCAAATGAATGATTTGCAGAACACGGAAGACCTATTGGCATGCGAAGTGTTTACCGACGAATGAGAAGTTTTGGCTTGTTTTCATACCGGCCACACTGGGTCCTCCCTTTAACTCGAGAACACCGACGTAATCGCCTTGAGTGGTGCAGACAACGGTTACTCTGGGATCAGGAATGGAAGAGTATTGTCTTTAGTGACGAGTCTCGATTTTGTTTAGGCATGCACGATGGTCGTGCCAAGGTTAGAAGGCGACGTGGTGAAAGGAGGAATCCACAGTTTTTTGATGAAAGACATGTTCATCACACTGTTGGAGTTATGGTTTGGGGTGCTATAGCTTATGGTTCCAGGTCACCTTTAATCTTCATCAGAGGTAACAAGAACGCGCAGCGTTATATCCACGAAGTTCTAGAACCCCATCTTTTACCCTATCTTGACACCCTGGCAGATCCAACTTTCCAACAAGATAATTCCCGACCACATGTTGCAAGAGTCACAATAGACTTCTTTCAACATAATGATGTCACATTGTTACCATGGCCACCAAGATCTCCCGACTTATCCCCAATTGAGCACGTGTGTGATATAATGGGTAGGAGATTGCTCAATTTGCAACGTCCTCCTCAGACTCTAGAAGCACTTCGAGAGGAGTTGGTGGTTGCCTGGAATGAGATACCACAGGAGGACATTGACCACCTGATCAGAAGCATGCCTAGGCGCGTTGGAGAATGCGTATCACATCAGGGTGCATCCACACATTATTAAAGGTCAAAGGGCTTTAAAGCAGTGCAATCATTTGAAATTTTTATCATTTACTTATTATGCTTCATTAAATACTTATACAAAATTTTATTAAAATAAAACCATTTGAACTGGGTGTTCGGATTTATATGTCACTTAGTATATATTAGGTCGATATTGCCTGTAATATCCTATTTAAGGATGTTTTCATACCGTTTCGCAAGAACCTGCCTGATACCTTATCTGTGTAAAAAAACGACGGAAGGGATTTTTTTACCCAACGCCTTAGTAATATATGTGAAAAAAGAGTCAAGTAGGTTGACTTTGCATTTCTCACTCAACGCTGTTATCAGTCCATAAATGAGTTCGGCCCAAGTGTCCCTCTGGGGAGAAAGTTCTGTATAACAAAAATTAAATGGATCAGATAAGTCAACCAGGCTTCTATAAATACTTAATAGTTCTCGCACATTTGACAACATTGCTGTGACTACAGATAAAAAAAACATTCTCATTTTCTAAAATTTTCGCGATTTTAATGTGTTCTCTCCAGTTGGTGTGGGAAGTAAAAACGCGAAGCTAGACGTTAGACGCAAGTGGGTAATCGTTGAGGGTCTTAACCGTTATCACATAGATAAAGGACTGCATTTCCAAACAGGATTCTTCAATCAAATTAAATTGAACGACTTCGTTTGTCGTGCTGCGTCGATGCCAATAGGAGCGGGTGTGTCATAATCAGGAAAAGTTCAGACAGCAACTTTGTTTTCTTGACGTTTCGTGATAGACAGATAACAAAATAATATATTTTGCCACTAATTTTCTTCTGCCTGCCTCTTTTTTTGTCGATAATTCGAGCTTACAGGTATTTGAAACGAGTGAAAAAAATTGATCAACACAACATTGGTTTCTTCTCTTTCAATATATTCGACTATTCAAGAATCGATTTTAGAAAAGAATAATCGATTTTTCTGGAGGGTCAGTATTTATGTTTATGGCGAGGAAGTATTGTAATAGCGAAACATTTCGAAAATAAGATGTTACGTTTTTTAGATGTACGAGGGTGGTCCCAGAAGTACCCGGCCTATCCTAGAGATGGCGATAGTTGTTTGAAAAATATCATTGTATTAGAAAGTATGCAACCTATAAAGCATATGTGTCAAGTTCGAAGACGCCACGTTGTTTAGTATTTGTATGGCAGCCAACAATACTAAACGTTTTCAGTGAATTTGTGAAAATGGAGAAAATTGGTCATGGTTATGTGGTGCAATACTTTTATTTCAAGGGCCTCAGCCCAACCAATATATAAGCTGAACTGGATTCTACTCTGGGTGAGTCTGCTCCTTCGTTTACAACAGTAAAATATTGGGTAGCAGAGTTTAAACGAGGCCGTATGAGCTACCAAGACGAGCATCGCAGTGGTCGACCACATGAGGTGACGACTCCAGAAATGGTGAAGAAAATTCACAAAGCGGTACTGAATGATCGTCGACTGAAAGTGCGCGAGCTAGCAGATATACTAGGCATTTCGAAAAGTGCGGTTCATCGCATATTATCTGAAAATTTGGACATGAGAAAGCTGTGTGCAAGATAGGTGCCGCGATTGCTCACAATCGAGCAAAAATAGTATCGTGAAGACGGCCGCATTTGGTTAAGAAGAAAGTGTTGTTTCATCAAGACAATGCACCACCTCACAAATCCGTTATTGCAATGGCCAAAATTAACGAATTAAAGTTTGAATTGCTACCTCATGCACCCTATTCACCAGATTTAGCCCCCTCGGATAATTTTCTGTTTCCAAATTTGAAAAAATGGCTCAGCAGTCAAAGATTTTCCAACGATGAAGAAGTAATGTCGGCAGTTAATGGCTATTTTGAAGAGCAAGACAGTTCTTATTACAAAAAGGTATCGAACTTATTGAACATCGCTGGGAAAAGTGTATAGAGCTCAAAGGCGATTATGTTGAAAAATAAATAAATTTTTTTTCTTCGTTGGGTCGGGTACTTCTGGGACCACCCTCGTATGTCACTTATTTATGTCGGTTCGTCTGCTGGTTTGTCGGCCTGTCCGTTAATTGTTGGCAAGAAAAGGACAAAAAAGCATTGTAGTTTTTGAAATTCGGCCCAGTGGCGGTGAAGCTACCGGGCAAATAGCAAAAGATAAGCATTGACCAAACTTCTTTTCAGTCATTGCATAGACACCTGATCATTTTCACAAAGAAATTATAAAGGGTCAAAAATTGGGGCTGGGAGAGAGTATATATAATTTTTAGTCAAGTTAGTATGTTTAGTAGTTATGTATGCGCCTAGTAGACATATTGAGATAGATTTGTCCATACATTTGCCCCTAAAACTTGGAATGATGGAGAAATGAAGACACAAGTGGATAAAGGTGTCATGTAACGAAATCATTTTATGGATAAAATGGACTTTAAACATTTTTTATTGGGACTTTTTTCTTCATCGAAATTATTATCTTGTTTTTGCAAAAGAATCACTCCTTAAGGTTAGTTTAATGTAAAAAAATCAATTTTAAAAAAATGTTACATGACACACTTTAATCCACTTGTGTTTTCAAATATTTACAAACGGGTATTGGCGTCTATGCAGTCATAACAAAGTTCAGGTGCGTTTGCACAAATTTGTCTCAGAGGGGAGGAGGAGGCATCCAGCAACAAGAGATACCTAACGCTTTGTGGAGGAGTGCCTGTCTTTTTGAAGGGGGGGGGTGGTAGATAATTTTTTAGGGGGGGGATTCTAAGAATCCCCAAAACTGTACACAAAAGCATGCTTAGTATGCAAATGTTAATTGTATATGCCTGTTTGTTTGAGTTGATCCATTAATTTTTTGTTATACATGTTCGGAGCTAACTTTTCCTCAGGGGAGCTGATTTTTAAGTACTGATAATATCATTGCGTAGGAAGAGTAGAGTCAACCTACTTGACGCTATTTTTGCTTATTCTCTTAGAATTATTTATTGTATAACTTGGTTTAAAGAGATATGAGAAACTTGAAAAACACAAAAAGTCCATTTTCAAGGTTTTTTTTGAGCAAAGCGTTCAACAGTATATTTATTTTGGTTTATCGTGATGGATAATGGATACGTAAAAGTGCAAGACCTACTTGATCTTGCGAAATTGCCGAGTTTTCGAACAACGAAGTGCTGAAAAGCTCTGATTTCCGGGTAGACAGAGCGCAACAGGTAGCGATGTCCCTAATTATACCTTTAGGATATATTCCAAACCTGCAATTTTTGTCCAAGAACTAGTAATTATTTCCGGTTCCACTGAAAATGAATTTTCTGCGATACTTACTAAAGACTCGTAATACCTCCGATTTTTTAACACGTTGTACAATAATAGCTCAAAACGATATTTAGGAAAACCTTATCTTTCAGTTGACTCATTACTCTTCTTTAATACAGATGCATGACGCAATCTATTTATAAAGAGCCTCACCTAATCCGAAAACAGTGGATTGTAAGAGAATTTGGAAAAGAACGGCAATTGATACGAAATGAGTTTGTTCTCTCCAGGATGTTTGCGTATGGTGATGCCCGATGCAGTTTAAACGGAGCGTCTCGAATATGATTTTGTTCCTCTTCCAGACAAAAGAAATCAAGTCGCCGCACTCGCTCCCCAGGCAAGCACCACACGCCATCTAGCGATGCGAAGTTCAACTACGATGAGCGCCATCTAGCGAAATTTAGAAGCGGCGGAGTGGGAGGCAGTACCACCACCAGAATGACCCCGCCTTTGCCTGACTTGAGGGTGGATTTTGCTCCAGAGAGGAGGAGTAGTCAGCAGGTGGACCATATCGGACTGCCTTCTATTGAGAAAAGAGGGAGTGTTTGTTTGAATAAGTGTCTGAGAGAGGTAAGTACTTAGCAGCTTCGCCGCATAAGCACGACGTCATAATACGAGTAACGTCATATTCAAAGGCCAAATGACTTTTAATATGACAAATTGGTTAAGGCTTTCTCGGCCAGTTGATAATCAGCATTGCTTGGTACAGTTTAATGCTTCCAAAATACAGTACTACTCAGACGGTTTCGATGGATGGCCGAGCTCTACCAAAAAGCTTTTCATTTCGGTTGGTCGGAGTCCAGATCTCCGAGAACTAGAGAAGCTAGGCTATCAGTTTCGGGCTCAGTCATACGCCTTCCATATAACCTACTCGCTGAGTACAAGCCCCAGATAAATCCTAGCCTAAAGTACTGCTCACATGTCTCTGGTGCTGCCGCCCCGACTACATTATCGGTTATAAGTTCAGAGGAGTGCTGTCCTGATCGATGACTCCGCCTCAACGGACAGTCCCGGGACCCTTTTGCACCGACTGGCCGTCGGTGGTTTAACTTTAATTGCCATGTCAACTGGCTTTGCTTCTCCGAGCTCTTCTCCTTTATGCTGCCGCACGATGTGCCTGCCAGACAGACTCGCTTAACTTCAGCCTCCCAGTCTTACCATCTTGACCTCATACATTCAGAGCTGGCCAGTTCGAATGCCCATTTGTTCCTTGGATATTGTGATTGTTGAACAACATGCCTGAGAAGGCTTTTCCCAGTTGCACTAATCTTGGACAGTTCGAAAATTGAATTAACAAAGTCTGTTTAAGTTCCTTGTAGCAGCCGAGCATCTTCGGTATAATAAGATCATGAATTTGCGACAAGCAGATTCCTACACACCCGTTGACAGTTATATATAAAGCGCTTTCTTCCAACTCTGTGCCTGAATAACTTGAATAATAATAATAATAATAATATTTATTCGCCAAAATACAAAAAATGGGCAAATAAATATGAAAAAACCACAGTAGGCAACGCCTGTGTGTGGTTTATATCTTAATAACTAACAATCAATCATATATGTGTATAACAATTATTGTTAAATCTAAAAAGTATTAATGTGATTGGAATTTTGTAGTTTTAGTTTTCTATATAATTATGTATAGTCATTCGCTGCACATTACTAACCCAGTCTTTCAATTTTCTTCTACATTTTTTTCCAAAATTAAGTATCTTTATTTCGTTTGGTACTACATTATATAATTTAGCTGCTAAGAATTTAAATGATTTTTTGAATAATGTTTTGTGTGGTCTTTGGATATTAGATGAGCCTATTAGAAATCGTGTGTTATGCTCGTGTTTATAGGATTTTTTCTTTTTATTACAATACTTATGGTATAAGGTGGTGGCATGTAAGAAATAAAGTTGTCTTGTATCAAGTATCCCTGTTTCCTGATATAAGTTGTTCGTTGGATATAATCTTGGCTTATGGAAAATGGCTTTCAAAACAGATTTTTGTGCTATATTCAGGTCAGAAATATATGTCTTGCAGGCGCACCCCAGGCTGTGATGCCGTATATTATATGGGTTTCAACTAAGGCATGGTATAGGATTCGCAGATAACTTTCTGTAAGAATGTTAGCAAGCATTTTGAGTTTATAGGCAACATTTCTAATTTTTTTGATAACATATGTAATATGATTATCCCACCTTAGATGTGAGTCCATAAATATTCAAAGATATTTCAGAGTGTTAACTCTATCGATTTTGGTCTTTTGGCCATGATAATTAACGGAAATTTGTTCGAAGATAGGTAAAAATTTTGAATAGGATGTAAATGCAATAAATTTTGTTTTTTTGAAGTTAACTGTTAAAATTTTAGTATCAAACCAGTCAATGATCCTTATAAAATCCTTTTCAGCTATTTGCTTCAGTGTGCTCCAGTCATCAGCTTTATATAATACGAGGGTGTCATCTGCAAAACATATAATCTTTCCAGAACTGTTAATTTTGAATAAGTTATTTAAGTAGAGACTAAATAATAGTGGGCCTAGTACTGTTCCTTGAGGCACACCACACTTGATGTACATTTTTTTACTGTAAGTGTTAGTGATTTTGACAGTCTGTGCCCGACTTGAAAGGTAATTTTTTAAAAGGATTTGTGACGCTCCCCTAAATCCCAATCTTTCCATAACTTTCAGAAGCTCGACATGGTTAACCGTATCAAATGCATTTTTTAGATCAACAAAGATACCAATAGTAGGTATCTTTTTGTTGACATTAGAGTTAATTTCATCCATTGCAGCCAAAATTGCATCTGTAGTAGATTTTCCTTTTCTAAATCCATATTGGTCAGAACATATAATTTTGTTTTTGTCCAAAAATTGTAATATCTTTTTTGTAGTAATTTTGGCTATATTCGATAGTACTGATATGGGTCTATAATTTGGTGTTTCCATTCTGTCACCGCTTTTATAAACAGGAGTAATAACAGTTGTTTCAAATGCATCAGGACAAATTCCAGATTAATGACGTAAGAAAGTGGTTCGACTAAGTCGTAGGCTATTATTTTTAAATGGTCAGCTTTGATACCATCTACACCAGGACTTTTTTTGGTTTTAAGTGATAGGACAGCTTTTTGTACTTCAATCGGACTAACGCTTTCTAAAAAGAATGAATTGGGAAGTTGGGTTTTTGGGAACATGTCGTTCGAAACCTTTTTTTTCAATACTGGATGCTAAATTTTCTCCAACATGTGAGTGAAAAAATTTAAGAATGCATCGGATTTGTCGTTTATCTGTTAATATTGTTCCATCACGATTCTTAATTTCATCAATATTTGGCTTCTCTTGAACGTCTTTGTTAGTTAAGTGATTGACAACTGACGACAGTTTTCTTGGATCAGATTTGGCATCTTGTAATTTTTTTAGATAAAATTGTCGTTTTGCTTCTCTAACTAGATTGATAAAAATATTTTTATATTCATTATATTTATGGGAGGTATCTGCACATGGTGATGCTTTCATTATTTTGTACAGTTCCTCTTTTTTGTTCGCAGACTTTATCAAACCTTTAGTTATCCAGGGATTCCTGCTTCTGTCAAAATGTTTAATTTTAACTCTGTTTGTACTACATTCAATTAAATATTTTATGCGTTCAATGAGTGTGTTTGCAGCATCATTAACATTTGTTGCACAGTACACTGCTGTCCACGATTCTAATTTGATATTTGCAAGTAGTTTTTTATTATCGAATCAAGCCTATGATTAACGTTTCAGGTTGGATCTCACATGGACCAAACAATAAACGCGATCAACGTGACGACCAATCCTTTGGAAGCCCAAACGCCACACTTTCCATCTCCAAGCAATAAAAAGAATGCTGCTGCTACGATCGTGGTGCAGCAGGCTTCGGTCAGCGAAAACATCAGCACGATTTTGCTAAAAAGTGGAGCTGAATTCGTTTCGAATGTGCAACAGGAGAAGACCAGGAAAAAGGAGGAGAATATGAAGCAGTTGCTTGATGTAGCGAATAATCTGACATTGGAGGAGATTCACGACTTCGAAATGCGGTAAGTTGCTTGGGTTATCTATGCAGGGTGCGGCAAAGATGATGGACGGTTTTAAAAAAAATCATAAAATAGTTAATTTTTACTCGAAAACAAATTTATTGATGGAATCAGGTTCACAAGGAAATAGCATTTGAGACAGTCAAGTGTGGAAAATCACATCAGGCATGTGGTGGCCGGAATCGTTGATGCAGTGCTGGGGGCGTTCTTGGAAGTTCGCGTAGACTCTCTCCAACATCGCTCTCTCAACTTGGGCGACTTCCACGCGAATTTCGCCCTTCAATTCGTCCAGAGTTCGGGGCTTGTTCACGTATACTCTAACCCTGAGGTGTCCACATAAGAAAAAATCGCATATGGATAAATCTGGGGACCGAGGAGGCCAATGAACATCGCCAAACCTGAAAATAAGGCGACCAGGGAAGAGAGCGCGAATCACGTCCATGGATGTTCGGGCTGTGTGGGCGGTCGCCCCATCCTGCTGGAACCACACACGTCGTAATTCAGGGAGAACACGGTAACATCACAATCATTACCGTCTTCGAAGAAGTAAGGGCCAATGATGCAAATTTGCGATACAGCGCACCAAACCGTTACTTTTGGGCTGTGCAGCGGTCTTTCGTGTAACTGTTGCGGATTTTCATTAGCCCAATAACGAAAATTCTGCTGGTTAACCATCCTGTTTAGGTGAAAGTGGGCTTCGTCACTCATAAACAAAATGAAGTTTTCATTTTGATCGATCAGTGCTTCCATCTCACGTGCGAAGTTCATTCGTTGTGCATAATCTCCGGGTTGTAACTGTTGCACAATGGCCAATTTGTAGGGGTGAAAACGGAGATCCATATGCAAAATTCGCCTTACCGAACGATCACTAAGGCGAAGTGCAGCAGCATGTTTCCGGGCAGATCGAGTCGGACTGCGAAGAAAGACAAGTCGAACGCGTTCAACATTTTCAGGAGTTCGAACTGTTCGCTGCGCTCCCATTGGTCTTCTGTTGATCAGTTCACCACGCCTGCGAAGTGATTCAACCCAACGAAGGATGGTATTTCGAGAGGGAACAGCTCTATTCCGATGAATGTTGAAGTGGCGACGAAACTCACGCCGTACGACGATGACTGACTCATTATTTCGGACGAAACAATCATCGGCGAAAACGCGGTGCTCCACCGTCCAAGGCTCCATAACAACAACTGGTAAAATAATGCTAGGATCTCACAAGTCAAACCGCACCCTCCCCACCTCTCTCGTAGATGGAGGCGGAGAGTACTACCCATCCCAAAAACGTCCGTCCTCTCTGCCGCACCCTATAACTCGTTTTCTTATCGTTTGTAATCAAGCAGGATGATTTTCTTCGTTCTTCCTGAATCACATTGCTTAGCATACAAATTGTGGCATGTCTGAGCTGACTACTTAGTATTTCAGATGCTACGTTAATAATAAAAATGTTAATATGTTAGCACGTCACACAACCCAACGCACTATGGTCCACTAACAATCAGGTATTACATTGGGAAAAACACTTGTCCCGTTTTTCATATAACAACACAAAGCTTTTTGTGAAATGGCCGTATAACCATTATTAAAATTGTATACTACAGCGCAGTTAGTGAGCTATACTTTTTTTGAAGACTTATGTGGACATCTCGTGAAGTTTTTAGTAACTGTCAGTTTTATTGGACATGACATTTTGCTAACGTCTTTCGGGCGGACTGGGAGATAATACCCCAGGTGTAGAGATATCTTATGACTTGTGTTAAGTGATAAGTAATCCGAAATCGTTATTATTATCGCTTATTCAAAAATGCAAGTATCTTAGACAGATAAATTAAAAATCCACAGAAAATGCAAGTATACATGTTGGCAAACTTTACAGCCATTTTCCTAATAGACTTTCCTTTGTCAACATGATCCAGCGCATTCCTTATTGTGACAAGAACAATTTTGTTTTTATTTTCGTTGTTCTGTTCGTATTTGTACTTGAGGGGCATTTTCTTTAGTTGTTCTGAAAAATAGTATAAATAATATTTTGATATACTTTACTATATAAAATGGTTTTGTGCACCCCGTATAATTAAGACGATGACATTCCTTTCAAACCTAAATTTCGATCTCATTTAAATAGTTTCTAGGTTTCAGTACAGTTCAGTATGGTTATCAGTTTCGGTACCGGATACAGTAAAGTGGCTCCGCTGTTTTGGAAATATAATAATTCGGGTAAAATTGTGATCTACGACTTAAAACACCTAGAGACACAAATTTTTAGACAACTAAACTTTTAGACTTTTGTCAAACTTTGAATATTGAAACAATACACTTTTTCTAAAAAACGAATCAATTAAGCTAAAGTTGTCTCACTATAAAAATGTAATTTTGAACCACTATTACAGAAGGTGTATCAATTTTCGTGACTTCTAGTCCGTCCGTGACCTGTTTTTAACCGATATCAATATATGCAGCTCTACCTGTTCATAACCCCGCCAAATTCTTTTATGGTTTTGCTGACTTCGTTTTCTGATGTGGTGGGTAGGTCGCTGCTGCCGGAGTCGCATCTGATACGAGGGGCACGCTGTATATTTTGAGATGCGCATTAACTATACTAGTTAAAACCCGTAGCAGTGCACTATTAGGAAGATCAGTCCTTGATTAGTAAGTCGTCGCACTCTGTTCAATTGTAAGCGTCTTACAGTGCACGTGGTGTAAACAAATTTAAGACAAAACATGTAGTCGTCTCGTATCGATAGAGTTATCACGCTATGATTTACTATGACTTTAAAGTCGGTTTAACTGAACATCAAGGAATCGAACGGTTACAACAGCCATTTAGTAATGAATCTCCATCCCGGGCAAGCGTGTTTAGCAGGTAAGCCGAATTTAAAAGAGGGCGTGTTTCATTGTCTGATGAAGAACGTAGTGGTCATGTTCTAGTGTGACTCCAGAAAACATTACTAAAGTTCAGCGGCTAATTTCACAAGATTCTCGCTGCACATATCCGGCTATAGAAGCAACTCTTGGGGCAGGATCCGCAACAGTGCATACTATTTTGCATGATCATCTTCATTCAAAAAACGTTGCTGCAGATGTGCAATCCTGCATCACAACAATGCTTCTAGCCACACTGCCCAACAATCTGTAGAATGTTTACGCCAGCGCCACATCAAAATGCTAGAACATCCGCCTTATTCACCAGATTTGGCAATGTGTAACTTCTGGCTCTCCAAGAATTTGAATAAAAATCTGCGTAGTCGAAAATTTTCGTCCGAAGAGGAAATCGATTAAGCAATTAATCAGTTTGTTTGAGGCGTTCCAAAAACTGATGGTTAGAAGCATTTCATTTGTGGAAGGTCAGGCTACAAAAGTGCATTAATGCTGGAGAAGAATACTTAAACTAGTTTTCGAAAAAATAGTTGTTAGTTTTCATGTATCTGAAAATATATAGCGTGGCTCTCGTATATGCGAATTACGGGGTCGCTCCATTTTATACAATTTTCTATTCGTTCAAAGTAATAAAGAAATAAAGTAGCAGGCCGCAAAGCAAACTGTGGTTAGAATAATAACTTTGACGTGATAGATAGCAGTTAGAAGTTGACAGTTATAGTTTTTTCTACAAACTGTGCATGATTTCGTACGAAATTAAATAAAAAAATTTATTTATATGTCAGAGAGGAATGTAATTGGTAAATAAATTGGGAATTAAATTCAGTAACGAATTTCTTCACGAAATTTGGAACCAAATTATGAACCAAATTTTGTATCGTGACAGACGGCCTCAAATGATTGTTAACGTTATCCATTTGATCTTGAAATGTTGTATCATTCTGTAACGTATATGCACTAGCACAACATTTTTATTTGACGGATTTCATGTTCTGGGAAAGATGTGATAATTTCTAGTAGAAGTAGAATCGCTATAAGCATCCGAAAGCATCTAAAGGAAGCTAGAAATGTCTAGAGCAAGCTCTAGAAGCCGTCCTTCCAACAATATGTCAGGATCAGCACCTATCCAGCTATCTTTTTTTCTTCTACTTGATTCGGCGTCAAACATTTTCAAACTACTCGACATTTGATGGCAAATAATATTTTTCTTCTACTGAAGGCATTCAGTGATGACGACCGATGAACTGTACCTGTATTTTGCTTTTAAGGCAAATAATCACGATTGTTAGACAAGTCATGAAAATGTTTTCCCAAATCTACATTTAATGACAAGAGATTTTTTTATTGACACCTGCAACATCAGCGTTCATTGAAAGGGAACTTTATAGGTCTGACCTGAGCATTACGGAACCCCGCAACAGATTAAGCGAGAAATCCGTTAGTGTGTGTCTCAGCTAATGATTAGCGAATAAACCGCTAGTTCAGGATTTTTAATTTTTTTGTAGCATCTGATGAAGAAATACTTTTTTCCACTTGAGTTCACAGTTTTGTCGTTTTTTATTAGTTACACGATGAACAACGTAGCTGTTCAATATGTATTGTTTTCCCTGTAACTTGCTACAAAGTATTTCCGTTGTGTATTTTTATTGTACTCATACCTATTTATATTACAAAAATTATCAAAAGATATCAAAACTACTTACTTATTATCAAGTACTTAACGTAAAAACTACTTGACTGGATTTATATTGCTGATATCGAATACTTGACTTGAGCTTGTTTCGATTTTAAGTCCAATCAAGTAGCTTGAAAATCATGTCAAGCACAAAGGGTGCTATAAAAGTTTTGCAATACACCTTTATCTATTGACTTCGTTCAAAGTAATTTCTACCACATTCAATACACTTTTCCATCCGCCAAACCCAGTCCTTCATCCAGCTTTGCCAAGTTTCATTCGGATGTGCGGCACACTCGTTTCCCCAAGCCCTCAGAAGATCCTCATCGCTAGAAAACAGTTTTTGTTTTAGCTTCATTTTCACATGCTGAAACAGTGCAATGTCGCAGGGAGCAAGATCTGTCTGCTCAATGAGTTTCAATCCAGTAGTGGTCAAATACTCGGTGCAGGCTTTGGC